AAATAGATAGATGCACACCCACGTTCATTGCAGCACTGGTCACAATAGCAAAAAAGAGGGAAATAACCTAGGTGCCCATCAACGGACAAATGGATGCGCACTGGGTCGGGCGGTCGCCCTGTCGTCCTGTCGTCGCCGCCGCCGCCGCCGCCGCAGGCGCCACCTGAGGGAGCCGCTGCCGCGGGACGCGACCAGACCGGACCGGACCGCGCCGCCCGAGGCCACCCCACCGCGCCACCGCCAGCCGAAGCACCGAACAACTTCGGTGAGTGAGGGGCCGCGGGGGGAGTCCCCGCCTCCTGGTGCCTCAGGTTTCTCGGGGAACCCCCGCCCTGTAGGAACTTCGCTTCCGTGAAGGACCCTTACTTTTGTGAGGAGATCTAGGCCTCTATGGGAGGACTCCCCCACTTCTCTGAGGAGACCTGGCTACTCTGGGGGACCCTCGCCTCTGTGAGAGACTCCACTCCTGTGAAGGACTCATCCTTCTGTTAGGAGACCCCGGCCTCTCTGAGAGGACCCCCATTTCTGTGAGAAGACCCTGGCCTCAGAGGGGCACCCCCGCTTATCCGAGGAGACCTCCACTTCTGTGAGGAGATTGCTTCTGTGAGGGTACCCCACTTTTGTGAGGAGATTTAGCTTTTCTGAGAGGACCCCCATTTCTCTGAGGAGATCCCTACATCTCTGAGGTTCCCTATCTTTTTGAGGAGACCCCCTCCTCTCTGAGGAGACTTCCTGCTTCTTTGGGGTACTCCCTGCTTCTCAAGGGGAGCCAGTCTCTCTAAGGAGACCCCCCGCTTCTCCAAGGGGACCTCTGCTTCTCTGAGGGCCCCCTCCTTCTCTGAGGGGATCCCTGCTTCTCTGAGCTGTGTCCCACTTTTCTAATGTGTCTCCTTTTGCACTTTAGCTTTTCTAAGTTGTCTCCCACTTTTTAGAGGTCTCCTTTCCCCTGCTTTTTTGAGATGTTCTCTGCTTTTCTGTCTCTCACTTTTTTGGGTGGCCTCTTCTTTCCCTAAAGTGTCCCCCAACTAATCTAAGATGTTGTTGTTCAGTCCTTCTCTGAGCTGTCCCACTTTCAGTAGGGCCCCTTTCTTTTTGGTGAATGTCTCAACTTCTCTGAGGACCCTCAGCTACTCTGAAATGTCCCTAGTTCTGACAGGATCCTTAGTCTGAGGAGTACTCCCACTGAGGTGTACTCCAAAATATACATTTCTGTTGAATTCGCTACTAATCTGTGGATACTAGAATTTTCCAAGGAGTCCCCTGCTTCTTCAGAGTTTTTCCCTCTAGTTTGAGATGTCCCACTTTCATGAGATATTCATATCTGTGAAGCGTGCCTCCACTTTTCCAACATGTCCCTCTCCTGATGGGAGACACCTTGGATCCCTCTTCTTCCCTGCATTTCAAGGGCTTCCCCTCCCACTTGCCTGAAAGGGCTCCCCTTTCCTGAATCTTCCCTCCTGATTCTCTAAGGAGAGTCTTCCCTCATTTCTCCTTTTAGTCCCCAAATTCAAGGTTTTCCTATTTCTGTTTGTGTTATCCCCTTCCCTGCATTGTGGAGGGAAAGACAAGAAATGTGTACCCTGCTTCAGTTTTCTTTTCTTGCCAGGCTGGGGGTCTTCTCTGGACTTTTGCCTTGCCTTCTAGGGGCCTGGAGGATTTTCTGACTGGAAGGGAGGTTGGGAGACGTAGAGGCAGAGAGTCCTGTTTTCTCCTGCCCTTTGAGGACCTGCTAGATTTGGGGGAGCAGGAGCTGTTGCCAGGTGACCCCTTGGTTGCTTCATTTTTCAGCCAGGGGGCCACCACAGTATTGTCAGGCCAGTGTGGAAGAAGGAGGAATAGGGAGGGCGCATTGTCTTCCCATTATCACACTGTCAGGCCACAGGACCTGACTTCCTGTCCCTCTGCCTCCCTTCTGCTTAGCCTAACTCAGTAGCTCACCTCCCCTTCCCCCCAGAAAGGAGAAGAAAACGCTCTTCTAGGTCTTCCCTGCTACATTTTCTCTCCTATGCCCTCTGATTCACCCCTTGATCTCTTGAGGACCCCCAGTTTGTGGGCCACTCTTTGGTTTGAAAGGCAGGACAAGAAGCAGGAAATGGGTCACCCTAGATCCAGGGAGGGTGAAAGGAAGGCAAGAGACAGAAGATTTGACTACATTTCTGTAAGTTTTTGGTGACTTCAGCCTGGCCCAAAGGAAGTTTTTATGTGGCCTTTGCAAATCTCGTGTGTACTTTTTTTTTAATGGGCCACCCTGGATTCCAAGTTCACTTCGGTAGCTAATTTTATCTGTTTTGCCAAACTCAGAGTTCTCTGGAGCCCAAGTAGATGAATGCTGGCATTGAGAGATGGTCCAAAGGATAGGAATGAACTCAGTTTGAAACCTGAGTAACTTGTAACCACTTCATGTCCAAGCGCAAGTCTCAAGCTAAAATTGTGGGGAAAACTGGCCTGAAGTGGAGTTCTGAAATATACTCTGAACTCCTGTTTGGTTAGCATTTCAACAAGTTCTTCCCTCTGACTGTGCTAGAACTGCAGTTCACTTTACAGTTTGATTTAAGGCTGTGTCTCTCCTGTTCGTTTCCATCTGTGTCTTGCTTAATTTGAGTCCTTTGTGAAGGCTTCTGCTGAGGCTATAATTTGAGTTCTAAATCTGTCAGTGGACCATGTGGACACAAGTTTCAACTCGAGCTATTTTCTTCTATGGAGAAGCGCTTGAGAATTTCTGGGGCCCTCTGCTCCTCGTGGAGTCAAGTCCAGGCAGGAGGCTGCTACAGACCTGATTGCGCTTCCCGGTCAGCTAGAGTCACGGCCCTGAGGGGAAGGGGAAAGATGGTGGGGAGCTCTGGGCTCTGTGTGGTGGTAAGGGGTCATGGTATACTGAAATGAAGGCAAAGAAGTAACGGGCTGGTTTTTATTATTTTAAATGAAACCCATAGGACCAGCAGAGTGGGGCGTGAAAAAGGGGAGGGGGAGCTTTGAATTCAGAAGACCTGGTTCTGCCCTTCCTAGTTCAGGTTGTGTGGCCTTGAACAAGTTGTAGCACAAAATCAGCACATACTAAGTATTTGAGGGAATGCATCTCTGTGAATGTGTCTGGAGGTGCGTAGTGATGAGATTACTTGGTAGACAAGTGAATGAATGAATCAAGAGAATGAACAGGAGGTCTCTAGCATAGTGCCTGGCACATGTTTGGTTGTTGTGCCTGGGAGATTAGGTTCTGGCCTGGACTCCCAGACCAGGAAGTGCCTGAAATTCTGTCAAGGCCAGCAGCTATCCTGCTCGTTGGAGTATATCCTAGAGAAATAAGAGCTGTCACACAAATAGATAGATGCACACCCACGTTCATTGCAGCACTGGTCACAATAGCAAAAAAGAGGGAAATAACCTAGGTGCCCATCAA